AAACAAGTAATTTGCGAGGACCCCATAAAAAGTTTACAAACTCAGGATATATCACTTGTCAGCTGACTATCGACTTTCCCATCGAATCATCAACGACTGGAATTCATTAAAGCAGCAGGTTTTTGAGGCTCCATCCGTCGACTATTTCAAAATAAAGTTGGATCAACCGACTGACACAGACGGCCCAGCCTTACATCTTTTGCAAGCGGAAACTGAAACTGTTAACCTTAGGTTGAGACTTTAAAGATGCGACACAAATGTTTTCTTCAGCTGAAAGACACATAAACATATGATATATATATATATATATCGGATTTTTCTGACATTACGGATCTCCTAAAGGCGCATATATTACTTACTCAAGCTATACTACAAAAACGCTACCGAACCAATACACATCGAATATGAAATCGGTCTTGAAGCTAATCGCTAAAGGTCGCAGAAATGAAAAAGCGGTGGTTTCAATCACAATTTGGCCGTGTTTTTTTTTTCAAGCTGAAACACGATTTCATATTCCCATAATACTTCGAAAAAATCTATTGTATTTCCCGAATTTTTCCTAGTACTTTTTCCGACTTAATATTTAGAAAATCTGTTCAATATTGGAAGATCCTCCCAATATTAGTTGTTAATTTAGGGGAAATTTGATCCATTTTGGGGAAATGGCATCAAAACACCAAAATCCTTAGAAATTTGAGGGTTATCCTAAATTCACGCAGGATCTTGTTACACTTTGGGAAACTCTGTCTATATTGATAAGACACCAAACTTTCGCGTTTTCCCAAAGATTTTGGGTTTTCCGTAATGTTTACATAAAATTCTGTGTTTTTCCCAATGCTCCCCATAAGTTTTGCATTTTCCCCCAATATTTCCTCCTTTGGGGATTTCCCCAATATTAACGATGAATTTTACTACACTTTTGGCAAAGCCGTCTATATTGATTGGGGAAATTATCCAAAGTATGACGTTCGAAGGCAGTATTTCTCCACAATTTTCGATAGATATCACGGAGAGGCCTGGTGATCTAATAATAAGTACCCAAAAGCTTCTACTCATGTATTTCAACACAGTACAAAAGCCATATAACTATAATTGGTAACAAAAACCAATGTCGCCATAATTAAAAGACTGACGCGTTACGCATGAAAATCTTTATTCAAGTTTAATAACGTCCAAATTTTCAATTAATACAGTTCTAATTCTTAACGATTGTTTGTGTTTTGAAGCAGTACAATAAAGTGATGTTGAAATTTCACTCACTGTGTTCTACAAAAAGAAAAAAAGTACTCTTTACTGAACAAACAAATGTCGTGGCAATCATCAAACTTATGAATCCTGAATGTCATCTAAAAGGTTGACGCCGTGTCAACGGTAGAGAAAGCCGATCTTCCAACTTCGGGGAAATCCTCAAAGTTCAATGACTTCCTCCAAAATTTTGAGTAAATTTCGGGAAAAATCCCAAGATCTAAGTTGCACACTTTTTCAGACAAATATTTCATCACTAGTGCATTTTAAAACCTTTGAAGATAAAATAAAAATTAATACATATTATTTTTAATATAATTATGAATTTTAACCATGGAAACGTCCCAGTCAACTTTCCAGTTGTTAAGTCAACCGTGACGTACGCAGCTCCCACTTCAGCAACCTGTAGTTCTTCAGAGGTGCACAAGTAATGGTTCATTTTGCGTTTTACAGTTTTAACAATAAATGAATTGCGCACGTTTAGCAATTTACTTTTTCGACTTCTCTGTTCCACACGAAAGCGTGTCATCGTTGGGTGCATTTGTAACCGAGTACTGTAGTAAAAGATCCTATTAATCCGTCGGTCATATAGTAGTCATTTAAAAACAATGAGATCAGAGTGATTATAACTTACTGCAACGATGCAATACCGTGCATTTTCTGAAACGGCCACATCACGATGAACAAACAGTTTGTTGTTCAGCAGCCTTGTTTCCAACTCAATATGATAGTGGACTCCTGTTTCCAGAAGCTTCGGTTCCACGTTATGGCAGCGACGTAGTACACTTCTTACGGACTTGGGGAGTTCTGGAATGTACACCCGAGAAAGGTCCAGAAATCCGTTAGCCTTCTTAACCGTAATCTCACATTTCATCATCTCAATTACAACTCTGTCTAGCTGTTGTTTGTTAGATAGATAAACAGGTGGAGACATTTCGGAAGTTACACCATCTTTAACTTGTTAATGAAAAAACCTTGACTATATCGTTGGCTGTACACTGGACATAACTACATGAGGCAGTGGCCGATTGTGGGACAATACTGCTACACTGCTCTAAAGCTACGGCGGTTCCTATTTCTCCAACACCAACTGAACTGTGGTCCTCGTAGTCTAAATGAAACAATTAACTGTAGTCAGACTGAACAAAATCATTAGTCGGGATTGTGGACGGTACAAATAACACACCAGCATGGCGCGAGAATTTTGAAAAGTGGAGACCTTAAGGTTCACAATGTCCGGAGTTTGGCGAAATTTTAGGGTTTTCTCCTAAGTTTAATGGAAAATGCGTATTTTTCCACAAAATGACCTGAGATTTCAGGGGAAAATGTCAAACCAGGGGGAATTTCGGGGTATTTTTCTCATATGGAGAAATATTTCACCAAAAGTTTCTATTGCGGCTTCCTTGGAACTGATAAAATTTCCCTTAAATCAGGAGATCGAGCCAAACGCTCGTTAGCGATGTTCTGGTAACCGCCAAGTACTTTTTCATGTGTAGACGTATCTCATCATCTTCACTAGTAAAACAAGGTTTCATAAAAATGGTTATGATAGACATCACTTCAAAATAAGCAGATCCATTGAATAAATGGATCAGTAAATGCTAAGCCTCGCATTATCAGAGTCAGACGTTTCGTTTATTGAAAGTCGAAAAATATTATTTGCTGCAATATTTTCAGGAATTGCACGTATTTGTAAATACTCATGAAGTACGATTTGTCCATTACATTTTCATCAGTTTTGGTGTCATATTGCTGTGTCAGTTAGTGCTCTCATTTATTTTATCGTAAAACGAAGTCCAATGGATGTTGTATGTGCTGTAAACTTCATCCCCTACTCCGATTAATTCTTAAAATACAACTTTTAAACGCTATCCCGAACCTCGTGTTGCAAACTTATAGTTATTTCAAAGTAGTGAAACTTCATCAGTTGAGATGGCTGGGACATGTGTTGCGCATGCCCGACCACCGACTGCCCCGACGTGCTATGTTTTATGGTGTAGGAGTAGGTTAGAAGAAAGTTAGGGGCGGCCAGACCAAAACATGGCACAAATCCATGAAGTCACTGACAAGTGGACTGAGCCATGTTGGTAGATGTAGACTACTTGGTTGGGGACCGCGAGATGATAGCAACCGATGGTTAGAGACCTTGAATGACATGTCTGAAAATCGTTTGCAATGGCGCAGGTGCATCCACTCTCTGTGTTCTCTCAAACTCTAATCTTCTGTATTCTTCATGTCTTTTATTTTTCCAAATCCATTCCACTGGACTATACTCCTTAAATAACATCATCAAACCTTAATGTTCCCTATCACTACTTATACTTTCAGTACCTCTACCACTATGGGATTTGAATCGATAACTGAATATCTGTAGTAATATGGTATGGCAACTCGAACTGATGTACGTACGTACGAAGTTCTATGTTGTTACTGTCTGACTGAGTTATTTCAAATTGTTTTGTAAAATTCATGGTAAACCATACATGTGTTTTTAGAAGTACACAGTGTTCTATAGTTCATGACTAATGATTATCTCGGTTCTTATTATCACATTGTAAAAATCCTCTGCATTTTGAAGTTAGATTAGAATAATAACTTACCCTCATATTATTTATAAGTAACGTTTACAAAGAGTACTTGAGAAGTCATTAAGTCTTCCTTACTCCAGCAAAAGATGGAGCTTTTACGGCTTGCGGGGTTAAAATCATTTCAGACACATTTTATAGTAGTTGTCATTATCTCTAATTTTTCTTGAACTCCATCAGGATTTGATACGAATTTGCCTTGGCTGTTGTTAAAGTAGTGTTTAGTTGGGTTTTTTTCAAGCAACTTACTATGGCCTGATTCATGCAGTGTTTGACACTCATAAAGCTGATAAATGTGCGAATTTTTATCCATTTATTTTCACTCAAAGTTGTCAAACAAAATATGAAATGAATGACAAGTTTCACTAAATTATTCAGCGTGTTTACATCCAATATGAACAACATGGACAATATAATCTCTTTCCAACGGCTTCATCTCTTTAAGAAATATAATTTGTTAATAATACTTAACGTTTTGTCCTCTTGTTAGGAAAATTAATACTCTTTCGTATTCGTTAGTATTGCCTTTCTTGACATGGCCGTGGAAAGTAGTATTTACTTCTAACATTATAAGGGCTGGTGGAGCGATTTTGTACTTTCAAGCAGTATTATCACCGAGACCTACCTCTTTTATCAGCGTTTCCGCGTTCAAAAATGCACTAATCAGTTGTTAGTTCTGCGTTATTTAGCATCATCTTTACTAGCTTATATACAAAATCTTTGCATCCGTGTACTAGGTGCGACAACCATACCTTACTATGCTTGTAAATGTAGATGGTATGTATTCTTCCAACATTTATGACAGTAAAATGAAATAACGTTTAACCGTTTTGACAAGTGACTTCACAATATTCTGTCACTGGCATTCTTGTTTCACTTTTCTGTCATTCAGACAACTAAAATAACTGAAAGCCTGTACACAATAAGACAACAGTTTTACTTGCAAACACAACTTGATGACAAGTAATTCATCGAATCCTTTAATTTTTAGAGTCCATTCTTTATTTTATTAACTCCTGAATGTTTTACTTGCTTTCGTTTCCAGAAAAATATGTTATTTTGTCGTTAACACTGCTTTTATTCCACTGTCCCTGTCATTTAATCTCATTTCACCTCATTACCGTAATATAGTTTCATACATTTGATTTTTAGTGATTCAGACTACATAGAATGGATGGTTTTGAGTGTTTCGATGACAGTGATGTTCAAGAAGATTTTAAAGGACTTTTTTATGGATGCTATATTTTGTTGTCCCTCAACCCAAAGTTCCGTGGCAAAACTTATATAGGCTTTACTGTAAATCCTAAGAGGCGCATACGACAGCATAATGCTGGTTGTTTAAAAGGTGGGGCGAAGTCCACCGCTGGTAAAGGACCATGGTTAGAATTGTGCTTTTAAATAATCGTCTTCAGGGAAATGGTTTTGATTGTTTATGGGTTCCCAAATGCGATATCTGCATTAAGAGTAAGTAACATAAAAATACAGACTTCTCATACCTTTATTTTTAGTTTGAATGGGCATGGCAAAATCCTAACTTATCACGTCGACTCAAAGATTCCCTACCAGTTAGAAAATCAAGAGAAACCAGTTTTGACTACCGTTTACGCGTTTTAGCATTGATGTTATGCTCAGGACCTTGGAACCGTTTGGGTCTAACTATTCAATGGATCAAACAGTCATATGCACGTAATTTATCGGAAAATTTGGTGCCTCCTCTTCACATGCCAATAGCCTTTGGACCCATTGAACCAAACTGTTTAGAAAATCCCGGCACTAAAATCGCGTCATTTGGTCTTTGTCAGATTTGTAACATTCCATTTTCAGTAAGTGGTTGTTATTTTATTGAGTATGAAGATTTTGATTCTTTTACTTCAATCGTATTGTAAAAAACTCAGATGATAAATATTAGTCAGAATTGAGGTTATTATATTTGAAATAATCTCAGCGATTGAAATTTAAATAATCCCAACGTTTCGTTCAGCCGACTTGTCTGGACTTCTTCAGGGTAATAATCAAAATCATCAAAGAAACACATAGCTTTTTAACAATCAAAACTATACTGTATTAAACCAATCAAATCTGGATGTTGATTTCTGTAAAATAGGATAAAATGAGTCAGTTAACTGCAGCTCTTGTAAAAAATTCAGCTACATGGAAATAATTAACTGAATAACAAATTGTATGTGTGTGAGTGTGTAGGTATGTATGTATGTATGCGTAAGATATTAATATTGATATTCGGTGTTAATATGTTATATATGAAGGAATAAATAAATAAAAGTTCAAGTTCAAGGTTGAAAACATTGAACAGAAGTACTAAGCTTGTTACTCACTGCCTTCTCGTGGCGGGGGTGTTGTTTACGAAAATGAGAGGACGAAAAGCGAATGTCCGGCGCTATAATCGGATCCCAAATCAATGAAGCACATGGGCTCCAGTATCCTGAAGGAACAAATGGCGTATGAACCAATCGTTGGTCACCGGCTTCCATGGGACTGTATCTCCTTACGATGCTCCACTGCCTTGTGGGTCAGACGTTCAGGTCGAAGGCTCAGGGTGTGGCCCCCTAAGAAAACCACCTGCTTCGGTCTGGGCACCCGGGTAGTATCCCAGCCCACGCACTAAAGCATGATGAACTATTTACTTATGGAAAATATTCTTTTCGCTCCGATTTACAATGAAATGACTCGCACTGTTATTATTATCATTATTATTATTTTATCACGTCATTTATTCACACTCTTATTCACACTTTATGTATCCGTTTCGACTTATACAGCAGCTCGCCTAAGGTGAAAATTCGGCTCTATCTAAACGTTCTCGAGTCACTGCCTGGTTGAAAATTGTATGTTACCACCGAATACGAGTACTGAAGCAGTTTTTCTGAAACCACGTGCACCATTCAAACTGGCTGCCTTCAACGTTCGCACGTTTATGCAGGTCGGACAACAGATAGGGCTGGCTATGTCTTTGGAAAGTCTTAATATTGATGTTTGTTGTCTATCCGAGACACGCATTCAAGACTCTGGTGAAGTACTACAAGTTCGCTCTCCATCTGTCACTTCAAAAAGCTTGTTTTACGTGCGTTTATCCGGGGACCCTGTGGCATCTTCGTCTGGTCTTGCAGGTGTTGTTGTCGCACTAAGCGCAAGAGCTGAGGCAGCACTAGTTGACTGGATCCTCATTAACAGTCGGTTATGTGCTGTTAGATTAGAAAGTTCCATCAAAGTGAGAAGAAATCGGCGTGAGAAACGATGTCTTTTCGTCATCTCCGCCTATGCCCCGACAGATTGCAGCCCGGATGCAATCAAGTATGAATTCTACCACCAGTTAAGTGTCCCTCTCCAGGAAGTGCGTTTGACAGATATTGTAGTACTAGCTGGAGGCTTGAATGCTCAGGTCGGGCGTCTAGGCACAGAAGAGAATCGTTTAGGTGGCCGATGGGGACTCGTTGGTCGCAGGACAGATAACGGGGAACGTCTACTGCAACTATGCACAGACTACAACATGTTTCTGGCTAGCACTAACTTTCGGCACAGTCATCGCCGATGTGCCACCTGGCGTCCCCCTTCTGCATCTCAAGCCTGGACTCAGATTGATCACATTGCGATCAGCTACCGCTGGCGTGGCTATGTACAAGACTGCCGCTCCTTTTGGAATACCTATCTGGACTCTGATCATGCCCTGGTCTGAGCCAATCTTACCTTACTTTTCAGTGGCCAACGAAGTGATCGCCACCAAAGGATTGATGTTAGCAAGCTGGTTGAGACTTCTGTTGCTAGTAAGTATCGAACCGAGCTAGCTTCTAGGCTAGCTACCATTCCACCGAAAAGTATAGATGAGCATTGGTTGCAATTGCATGACGCCATGAAAATGGCGGGTAAAGTCTGTTGTGGATTCGCGAAACGTCCCACTTATAAGCACTGGGTTTCTTCTGGTTCCTTAAAACTCATTGGAGCCCGTCGGTCTACTCCGGGTGACCATGAATTTGACCACAAACGAAGGATGTTACGAAATGAAATCGGGCAAAGCTTGCGTAAGGACCGAGAAGCCTGGTGGTCGGAGTGTGCTAATGAGCTGGAAGCAGCAGCTGCATCTGGTAATTACCGGAAGCTCTTCCAACTCATCCGAGCCACTGGCAGCAAGAAGTCTGGTGTGAGCGAAACAATCTGCGAGGATGACGAAGTGCCAATCACTAACATCCATCGACGTCTTGGACGATGGGCAGAATTCTTCGAAGGGCAGTTCAAATGGCCTGCTGCTCCGGCAACATCGGTCAGACTGTCCTGCCCTCCATGGCCGTTGACGACTGATCCACCAAATGAGGCGGAAGTCCGCAAGGAACTCCAACTCTTGAAACGCCACAAACCACAGGGCCCAGATGACTGAGGGACTGACGACGTTGCTTACAAAGTTCTGGGAACTTGAGAGTGTACCAACGTCATGGAATGAGTCGATAGTTGTCCCTATCTTTAAAAAGGGTTCACGTCGTTCCTGTAACAACTATCGGGTGATAAGTCTACTTCCGATTGCGTCCAAGCTATTGGCTTCCGTTATACTTCGTAGGTTGTTCAAAACCCGAGAAGGATTGACTCGCGAGCAGCAGGCTGGGTTTCGTTCCGGTCGAGGATGTAATGATCATATCTTCACCCTCCGCCAAATGTTAGAACACCGCCATACTTATCAAAGGCCAACAATCGTAGCGTTTCTTGATATCAGGGCTGCCTTCGATTCGTTGGATAGGACTGTTCTCTGGGATTGTCTATTGAAGAAGGGTGTGCCTGAGAAGTTTATTAACATCCTAAAAGCCCTATACACAAACACCTCAGGCAGAGTGAGGGCATACAACCACCTTTCTTCATTATTCCATTCGAGCAGTGGGGTTAGACAGGGTTGCCCAATCTCACCATTCCTCTTCAACTTTGCCATCGATGACATTCTGGAAAAAGCTCTGATGGATGTAAGTAATCGTGGTGTGGATCTGTTGCCTGGAGAAAGACTTCTCGACCTTGAGTATGCGGATGATATTGTCTTACTGTGCGAGAATGCCCAAGCTATGCAATCCGCATTTAATCAGTTGGCAATCTGTCCGTAGGTATGGTATGTGCTTTGCACCTTCGAAGTGCAAAATACTTCTACAAGACTGGCAGGATTCTAATCCTGTACTCACTCTGGATGGTGAGCAGATAGAAGTAGTCGAGAAGTTCGTGTATCTGGGTAGCTGCATAAGTGCTGGTGGTGGCGTGAGTGATGAGATCAATGCAGATGTAGTGAAAACTAGAGCGGCTTATGCCAATCTGGGCCATCTTTGGCGCCTTCGTGATTTTAGTCTGGCTGTAAAAGGTCGGATCTACAACGCGTCGGTGAGAGCAGTTTTGCTCTATGCTTGTGAAACCTGGCCTCTCCGAGTTAAGGATGTTAGACGACTCTCTGTGTTTGATCATCGTTGTCTCCGAAGCAGTGCTGACATCCAGTGACAACACCATTTTAGTAATGCAGAGGTTCGGCATCGTGTGTTTGGGCACAGAGACGATAATGCAATTGGTGTCACCATCTTGAAACACCGACTTCAGTGGCTTGGACATGTTCTACGAATGTCGTCCCAGAGAATTCCTCGTCGTGTATTATTTGCCGACTCTGAGACTGGTTGGGAAAAGCGGAGAGGTGGTCAGTATATGACATGGTGTTGTGGTATGAAAGAAAGCTGCAAAGGGCTAGCTTCTGTTGGTCTTTCACGACTCCCTGGCTGGGGTCCGAGAGATGGTGTAACACAGTGGCTAGAGACGTTATCAGATATGGCTCAGAATAGAAGCCAGTGGCGATCCTGCTGTAACCTTCTTTTACTTTCTTCGTAAAGAATGGTTGCTTCGTCCTTAACTGAAAGATCTCTCCTGATTGTACCTTTTTGTTTCCCCCATTATTACTACTATTACACTACCTTACACTAATCTGTTCGTTAGTTTTATTTCCTTGTCTTTAAATTCCTCATTGTTTTGTGTGGCGCATATATATTTGGTGCCTCTTGTACCAATATTTATTTTCAAATAAATAAATAAAAATCAGTAGGCGCCTAGCTTCCAGATCGACAGGTTGGATTCTGTAAGGATCGATTGTGCACAGACCGAATCACGACACTACATTCCTTAACTGAAAGATTTCTACTCTTAGGGTTAACAACTACCCAAAAGAGTTTTTAAAGAAGATTGTTAAAAATGAGCGAAAAATTAAACTAGAATGTATACGAAAAGTTTGGAAGTACACGTAGTCATCCAATACCGTAGTGAAACATCGGAAGAAATCAAGCGGATTCTAAACAAACATGATATAAGAGTGTATTTTAGGGCGAGTAACACCTTAAGATCTACATTAGTTAAAGTTAACGACAGGTTACCGAAGGAAGAACAACAAAATATTGTGTATGAGATCAACTGTCTTGATTGTAATGCAGCTTATGTGGGAGATACATCCAGATGATTGAATGTAAGGTTGAAGGAACACAAACAATATTTGAAAAATGTTCCTAAATCCTCGGTTGGTTTGAAGAAACTTGTGAATAAGTCTGTGATAGCGTTACATGCGTTAGAAACAGGACATAATATCAATTTTGAGGGGGCCGAAATACTTTGGAAAGGTTTTAACGCTCATAAAGAATGATTGACAGTAGAAGCGCTGTATATATGGGCGAACAAGAACAGTCTAAACTGAAAGGATGATATTCAACTAGCGACTACCTGGCAAATTTTTGTTGACAAATAATTTGAACCCTCTCTTTATTCAACCTGTTTATTTCACATGTATCGTTATTTTGACTGAATTCAATGAGGT